AAATGTGATAAATTTTGGTAATGTTTATCAAAGATCTGAAATTTTAACAGTGCTAGTATGGATCGAGATAATATAATAATATTCAGTTTGATAAGCTCTATTTTATGTCAGTTCTCACCTGTCAATTGTACGTTTTTTTCTATGTAAGCTATAATCTAACTTTTACCGGAATTCCAAGCTATAAAAAAGTGCACATTTGCAAGCGAACAAATACCTGGACAAAGTGGAACTAAATCAGTAGCTTAACTGTTACACATCAAGATTCTCCCAACATCTTAAAATTGAAACGTCGAGGTAGCGCATTAGAATTCCGACGTAACCCTGTGTGCATCTATTTTTTTAAATTATATTAAATTATTGTTATGCGCATATACACAAGTTTGTGTGCTCATTACAAAGCTGGGGTTATATTCTCTTGTCAAGTCGAAATACGTAAAGACAGCACAAGCACAAGAGAAAGACAGCACAAGCATACATCCTGAAACACCGGTGGAATTCTGACTCGCTACTTCCACGTCACCATAGATAACAGCTTCCTAATATCTTTCTCTAATATGGAATCAGTCTGCGTAGGGACCAAGGGTGTGCGATATTCGTCCTCGTTAAACTGTTCTACCGTAAAGTGCTCGACTTCGCTCTCAGGTCGTCGGGCTACCGAGGCAGGGGTGCCATCCCCTCTGCAGAGGATCAAAATTGTGATGGCATGTCTTCGGATCATCTTCAAGGATGTTTCCCAGACCGTCACCAATAGCCCATTGTGCAGCTCTAGTGCGACGTAAATGAACAACGACAACTTTCTCTAATATGAGCATAATGCTTCTTAACTTGACAAGGGATAATTATAAATAGTACTTTGTAACGAATGAGCACACAAGCCGGCACATGCATGTGTAACATTAAATAAATAAATAAATTCTCGGAGTAGTAATGCTTTGTTTTTTCAACTATGTTTTACAATAGTCACATCTTTCCACCAAACGTTATTTAAATTGGAGGCAGTGGCTTCGATTCGAAGAGTAGTGAAAGAAAATTAAAAGTGTTGTTCCACGAACCACTCTAAAGACTAGAGGTAGTGGGTTGGAATACAGCTACTACACTGTCTGCATATTTTTGCTGTTTCGTAAAATTATGCCCTCCGTTTTTCAAACTGAAAAGAGTTCATCAGCCGTTCTTTGTATTTACAAAGAAATCCGCACAATGTTTGTAAGTTAATAAATCTCACCACCCCTTGAAAGATGGATAAAAGAGTCCCCATAGTTTGATATGATATATATGAATTTAGTATCATTAAAATACTTTAATTAGATATCTTGAAGCCTTCATTCGCTCCTTTTATAATTGAGAAAATATAGTAGAATAAAAAAACAGCTAACAGCCATCTTAGTAAGCAGCTATTTTAAATAAACAGAAGTGTAAAAAAGATTTTTACCATTCTATTTGGTAACGGGAATAGACATCAAAATTTTAATATTGCAAAAAAATTGTAAAATTAGTTACAGTTCTGAAGAACATGATAATTTTATCGTGATACTTTAGAGTATGGAATAAAAACCATTTATTTGGATAAATTTACTTTTCAGTTCTATATTTGTTACTTAATGTATGGTAATAAGGATTAAAATTTTCAATAGCAGAATTTCCGATAAACCGTTGTCATAGCGAACGATAAAGTTAAAAAATGAATGGTTTGATTACCGTATATTTTGGTTTAGCAACCAGAATTATAGTTTAATTTTTAACATGAATATCTTTACCATACAAGTATGGTAATATTTCCAGATTAAATTCTTCCGTGTGCTAAACACGAATTTAAATAATTGAATTTCACATTAAATAAAAAATTACCTTACTAAACAATATAAAATTATGAATCTTGCCAGAATTCATCTCGTAAACAAATATTCTTGTCTGCGAGAGTTCGATCTAAGCAAGTAAGGATGACGAAATGGTCTCTAGAAAATTGTTGTGAGTTTTTTGGGGATGGTGAGCAGCAGCGAATAGGGAAAGAACACTCTAACATAAATTATTATTGATATCTTCTGATTATTTGCAATAAAAATACTTGGGATGATTTTTATGATTGTATATATTTATCAACTCCGGTTATTTCACTACTCACTTTTTCAGTTCTTTTAATTAGTCTTACGAAAAAAAGTTTTTTTTTTATGTATATGTTAAACACTATTGCAATGCACAGTGGGCCAGCATCCAAGGTTTCGTGGCCAAAATTAGAACTTCGATAACATTTGTTTCAAAATTTGGGGAGTTTTTATTTAGGGGTTTTTATGTGCAGGTAAATTGAATTCATAGTGGAAATTTCAAAATATACTAAAAATACAAAAAACAAAACAAAATGGCCGCTGAAATATGGTGAGCAAAAATAAAAAGAAATATTATAATACGTTTAAATAATTAAATATAGCAATGAAAATATAATAATTTTCGCAATTTTATATTAAAAATGAAAAACAAATAATATTTCCGAGGTAAAATTACAAAATAACGCGAATTAATTGCAAAATAAGGCGAAAACATGAAGAAAAAAAACATAATTATGTTTTTTTTTTCATGTTTTCGCGTTTATTATTCGTGTTACTAAATATACCGAAAAACAAATATTAATATTTGTTTTTCGGTATACTTAGTCCAACTTTGCAATATGGGCAAAATGGGGCAAGTTTTTTCGAAAGAAGAAGCATCAAAGAAGACAACAAAAAAAAGTTTAGCTAATTACCTCGTGGAACTTTTTAGAGATAAGTTTCGAAAGTGATTCAAACATTGAAAAATGTCAAATGATAAGATATAAACTATAAGTTTGTCAAAAGTATTAACTAATCCAATAAATTGAAAAATTGTGCTATAATTTCAGACTAATTACTCTGATAAAAATGTAACAGTTAGGTGAAATTCCTACGTATATTTCGGAAATATAAGTTTAAAAAAAAATTTTAAACATATTTTTCACTACATTGTACTCCTGTCTGTCCAAAAAGCAAATTATAATGTTTGGAATGATTATGAATACTTAATTTGGGCAATATTAAAACTGCTTACACATATTTTAGTTGGAAATGTAATTTTGATTTTTGGCCAAAGATCATGGTCTTCTGGCCCACAGTGCAATGACGTATGAACTAGCTATTAACCATGCGTAATTAACTAAGAAAATAATAATTAATCTAACTTTAAATTTTGAACTTGATGGGATTTTGGTATGGAATATATATTATATCGCAAACAAATATTATTTGACTGCGCTGACGTAAGGTAATTTAAAATCGCTTAAGATTATTGTAATTTAGAAAAGCTAGAGAACCCGTTTGCTGAAAGAAAGAATTTGCTTTACGGCTATCTTTCAAAACAAATAAATCTTTTCAGAAATTCAATAAAGGAATAATAATTTCCTATATCAATTAAATTTACCGTATGGAAAGTAGTAATAATGGTACTGAAACTTTGTGCATGAAGATCTTCTATAAACACTAGTTTAATTTTCGATTAATATAAAAGTCAACTGACGTAGATAAAAATATTTCATTTTCCGCGGCATGAAAATAGAATTATCGTAATCCCATGATCAATTCAACTGGATCACGCACAAATTCAATTTTTTGCTCCAAAACCAATTTATGTATCAAGAGATTTTCATGTCTGATATGTCAAAATATTTTTGCATAAATGATGAAATCATGACTTTACAAAATACATTAATATCCAAAATACGTTATCTGAATTGGATCAGAAAATTATTACATTTTTAGGAGTTTGACTGAAATTGGAATTCGTGTTCTGATATTTAGGCGCTGATTTGAACACGACAATTTTTGTATCGTACTCCATTTTATTTTATGTAAACGGATTCAAACACGTTATATATATTTTTAGAAAAAACTTGTTTCATTTAAAAAAGTGCAGTTTGCAATTGATTATTTTTCAAATATTTTGTAATATGTGAGTTGAAATTCCTAATTATTGAAATTAAAGTCAATGTAAATCCAAAATATTTTTTACAAATTTTTTTAAAACAGAACTAAATTATCTGCGTTTCGAAGTTCATATAATTACCTTAAATCTTGAGATATATTGTTTCAAGGTACGTAGTCAAATTTTTCAAAACATAAATAAATGAATAAATGAAAATTAAACACTTTAAAAACTAAGCACTTTAAACATTCTAAAAATATTTCTGATAACTTTAAAAAAATCGTAATTAGAATATGCGCAGTTATAAAAATTTTCCCTTCTATTGTTTAAAGTTCATGTAAATAAATAAAATAAACAAAAGGCAGAAATATTTTCAATAACTTTATATATAATAAATTTATTGATTAAATAACTAACCTTAGATAAATTTTGAAGGAAAAGTTATGAAAATCATGCTTTCTTTGCAATTATAACGATAATCGACACATCAAGAAAAATATCTCTATTTGAAAACTAGAAAACTAAACACTTTTTTTAAAACCCAATGAATAGAGCACATTTAACGGTTTTTAAAAAACGTAAATAAAAAATAAACACCTTTAAGCACTTTTTAAAAACACAATGCAACCCTGTGTTTGGAAGCTAAGAACATAATTTGACAAAATGATTATTAAAACATATCAATGTGTTAAAATGATTTAAATGTAAACTTATGGAGCAATTATAACTACAGAATTTAGTAGCATGTGAATAGTATCTTAAGCGTGTAAGTGGAGGTAAAAAATGGGCATTGAGATTTTGTTTACTCATGTACAACTCTAAACCCACTTATCTCAAACCATGATTTTTTGAGTTGTGCCGCTATTGCAGCCCATGAACGAAATATTTTAAGGTGTATTTTATTAAATTACTTTAAATTGTATGATAATCGAACATAACAAAAAATGAGCAAAATAGGTATGTTTTGTATTTTATTAGCATGCAAAAAAGTAAAAAAAAGGTAAGACAGAATAGCTTGAAACAGTAATACAACATATCACAGAAAAATAGCATTTCACAGTAAAGAAGAAAAAAATTGAAAGTAAGAAATTATATCAAAAATTAAAATAACGAGAAAAAATGTAGGAAGAGTATGAAAATCTTTGGTAGAAGGCGTAGAAAACTTTATATACAAAAAATACCACTAGAGGTCACAAATAAAAGAATTACAAGAAAGTATAGGTGAAAGATATCACTAGATGTCACAAATAAAAGAATTACAAGAAAGTGTAGGTGAAAGATATCACTTAATAACCGTATCGGGCATAGGGAAGAGTACCCAACAAGGCACTGGCTAAACCGTATCCACCATATCCGGCACCATAGTATCCAAGACGGCCATATCCAAGTCCATAACCTCCATACTCAGGTCCGTGATCGGCACGTCCATGACCTGCATATCCACCATATCCATATCCACCGTATAGGTTACCGTAAGCAGGAGCAGATGAAACGAGGTGAACGGCAGCAGGGTTCTGGTTGGCTGTTCCTGGCTCATTGGTCTTGACTTCGGCTCTGAAGCCACCGTGGTCAGCTACGTAATTGACTTGCCGGTGAACGCCCCGTGCATCGGTGAATCCATAGCTGCCCGTTACGTGGTCTCCGGTTCCGAATTCTTCCCTGTGCTGTTCACCATGGTGATCTTTGACACTGTATCCAAATTTGTATGGCTGAGCATGACCATGGTACTCCTAAATTGAAAGAAGACAAAGAAAGCTTGTATTTTTGATGACGGAGCATAACAAAACCATATTTTGGGATTGTTATGTTTAAAACAATACTGGTCTGTTTCATTGGTTTCTACAAAAAATATTTACAAATATGGAAAATACTATTTGATGAAACAGCGTCAAATCTTGTAAATTGGTTGGGGCTTTACCCTGAAGTTGACATTAAATGTTGAAGAATGAACATTGTTTAGTCGAACACCAATTTCAAATTGAAAAACACTAGACAGATCATTTGTTTACTTAATTCTAGTATTTAAAAGACGAAATTTTTTATGCGTTCGTATTAACCCTTTAACTCTGAATTTTTATTTAATATATTTTTCCTTCTTTCGTTACATTGTATTAAATTAGATCAAAATAAGTGCGAAATTTTATATTTAGCATTTAAATAATTTATATTTATGCTATACAGCATGAAATACTGGCTCCTTTTTTCTGCGTTAAGGGNGAGATCGGTACGTCCATGACCTGCATATCCACCATATCCATATCCACCGTATAGGTTACTGTAAGCAGGAGCAGATGAAACGAGGTGAACGGCAGCAGGGTTCTGGTTGGCTGTTCCTGGCTCATTGGTTGCCCGTTACGTGGTCTCCGGTTCCGAATTCTTCCCTGTGCTGTTCACCATGGTGATCCTTGACACTGTATCCAAATTTGTATGGCTGTGCATGACCATGGTACTCCTAAATTGAAAGAAGACAAAGAAAGCTTGCATTTTTGATGACGGAGCATAACAAAACCATATTTTGGGATTGTTATGTTTAAAACAATACTGGTCATTGGTTTCTACAAAAAATATTTTCAAATATGGGAAATACTATTTGATGAAACAGCGTCAAATCTTGTAAATTGGGTGGGGCTTTACCCTGACGTTGACATTAAATGTTGAAGAATAAACATTGTTTAGTCGAACACCAATTTTAAATTGAACAACACTAGACAGATCATTTGTTTACTTAATTCTAATATTTAAAAGACGAAATTTTTTATGCGTTCGTATTAACCCTTTAACTCTGAATTTTTATTTAATATATTTTTCCTTCTTTCGTTACATTGTATTAAATTAGATCAAAATAAGTGCGAAATTTTATATTTAGCATTTAAATAATTTATATTTATGCTATACAGCATGAAATACTGGCTCCTTTTTTCTGCGTTAAGGGTGACATTTTCCAAAACACGATTCCCTTCCTAGCAATAATTTTTCAAATTTGCATTTATTTGCAGATATTTAGATCCAAGAGAAACATTTAATTCATTATTGAAATTTCTTTAATTTGCTAAAATCGATTATTGCTAAATGTTTGAATACGAATAAAAAAATATTTTTTTATTTATTCTTTCTTTTCTTATATTTTTGTATGATTATAATTTCGATAATGTATCAACTATGACGTTGAAATTAAATGTTGAAGAATAAACATTAGTTAATCACATGCCAATTTCCCGTCTGCGTCAAAGTGCCTCATGTGCACGATTACGACGAATTGTTCAAGAACTACGATGAGCTATAATAATAATAATAACATTTTAATACGTAACGGAAATAAGTTAACACAAGCTGCGGAAGACCGCAGGCAATCCTTTCACATCACAATCACGACTACAACTACTGTATTACAAAAAACTTCCGGTTTCCGGAGGCAGCCGGTAGCTGCTTACTTCGCACTTTCGTTATTGGAATGTACGCTAAAGCGCCTTTTGCAAATTAATTCGGCACACCTCATCTACGCCAATTTCTCACTGCCCCATTTGCGTCAAGGATACTAAATGGTACTAAAATAATTTTGCCAACGATGCTTTTTTTTTAACAATATTAAGTAAAAACATTAACTTCCAAAACAGATAACTGTATTTTTTTTACGGTGTTTTATTAACATTTTTTTACGTAATTTTGTAATTTTTCGATTCATAAACTGTTATATATTATACAATATTTAGTTTATAATTCGGTATATTCGGTGTATAAACTGCTTTGTTATGCATGTGGAAAGTAAAGTTAGCAGGTCGGAATACTAAACATCATACTTATGACTTCATAAAGGAATGTTTACTTTTAAGGAATTAAATTAAACAATCCATTCCAGGTAGAAGTAATAGATAAGCATAAATCAGACTCCGAAATTCATTATTTCTGCCTTTATTTTGCGCAAATAAACTTTTTTGCTTACGGCGCTTAGCATATCTCGTTCACTTTTTGCACAAGCCGTAAGCAAAGGGTTAATGAACAGGTAGAAGAATGAAGAAAATCATTAAAAACTGTAGAATTTCAACACTGATTCATAACATTATATTTCACTTTCAGCTTATTCATTCAATTACGCGAAATATATGTCCTGTTTTAGCTTAAAAAAAAAAGGATTTTTGTTTAAATGTCTGTTTTTTAGTTCTCTTTCTGTAATACTCTCCTAGAGCAGTTCCCATGAAAATAAATGCAGGGAATATTTGACATGTAAGTATGAAATCATGAACTGAATATCCTGTTTCATTAGGTTTGTTCATAAAATGTAAAATTAAATCATAATACTACTTATTAACATCTGGTCAAACAAAATGCTTAAAAATCAGCTTATGTTTATATTTTTAATATTTATCGAACACGATATTACTTTACTTCATTCATTCAAATACTTATTTGAATGTTATGCATCCAAAAACAATAAAAAAGAAAAAAATATCAAAAAAATCTTTAGTTGTTAACTGTGTTTAACACTAAGTAATTTAAACCTGTTGTAAATGATAAAAGAACCTTCGAGAAAAACTTAACTCATTTGCCTTGGAAAAGTTTAACCATACCCTTCTTAATACCTGGATATCGCATTTTCTGACTATCACATGGTTTTGGGCCACCAATCACCATTAGAGTGAGCACCAGTTACAATGATGTCACGCAGGTTGTGGCGTCGCTGCGGTAGCGATTACTATTGATGAAGCGAACTGAAGTAGTGCAGATCTTCAGAGTATAAAAGTGACGACGTGGATGCGATAATGGCTTTTTTCCACGTATTTTCTTCAACTGCTAGCTGTGCCGAACGAGAGCACGCTGGGCGTGTGAAATGTTTGTTTAATCTAATAAATGTTTTCTTTAGTTGTTTATTAGTCTCAAGTCTTATTTCCAGAACACAGGATAGTTCCAGAGCGTTCACCAGATGAAACTACAAGTGGTGACCCGGTGAGTTTAGCATTTCTTGTGGTAACTTTTCGGTTCAGTCAAGATGCTGAATATGAGATTTAGGTTAAAAAATTTTAAAATGAAATTAGTAGTTTAAATGTTAGACTGATGTTTTCATTGTTTTAAGTACTTAAGAAAAATTTCCCTACCATATTTAGAGTTGTTGCATTTCAAAATATTTACGCTATATTTATTACTGGTTTATAGTATAGAATTTGTAATATATTTTATGCGTATGTAGTTTTTTTTTCTAAATTGTTAAGTGCTACTGTAATGGAAGGGGAAACTTTACTTTCGAATAATGAAAAGTCAGTGTTTAAGAGTAGTTCATTTGGTGAAAATTCTACTGTAGCAATAAAGACTCCAGTTTTTTGGAATGATGAGCCTGAACTATGCTCTGCTCAGCTGGAATCCCAATTTAAATTAGCTAACATTACAGTTGATTCCACTAAATTTTATTATGTTGTTTCATCCTTAGGTAGTGATCATTTAACTTGCGTTTCAGATAATGTACTAAATAGACCTGATAGTGAAGCTTATACTCAAAGAAAAACTAGGTTAATTGCACAAAATGCTGATTCTGAGTCATTACGTTTAAAAAAAATTGCCTTCAGGTATTGAGTTAGGCGATAAAAATACCCTCAAAACTTCTTTACGAGATGCAAAGTTTAGCTGCGGTGGCGATTACTATTGGTGAAGCGAACTGAAGTAGTGCAGATCTTCAGAGTATAAAAGTGACGACATGGATGCGATAATTGCTTTTCTCCACGTATTTTCTTCAACTGCTAGCTGTATCGAACGAGAGCACGCTGGGCGTGTGAAATGTTTGTTTAAACTAATAAATGTTTTCTTTAGTTGTTTATTAGTCTCAAGTCTTATTTCCGGAACACAGGATAGTTCCAGAGCGTTCACCAGATGAAACTACACAGGTCATCGGGCAATTTTTTGGCTCTAGCAACAAGAATATTTTTAAATACTGAGTACATACTCTCCGATTTTATTGGAAATATGTAATTAAATCAGAAAAGAAAGATGTTACGCAGAAAATAATTAGGATACTGAAAAAAAAATGAAACAAATACTCTATTCACTTTTTTTCCCATTAAGATTAATAATGAGATATTACCAATGGTGGATTAACTAAAACAGCCGCAACTGCTGCTGCAATAACAATGACCTGGAATAAAAACATATATTTTAGGTTTAAAATTTTAATAAAGTAAACTTTGTTTTGTTAATCAAATAATAGGTTGCGCAAAATTTTGTTACATTTGATTTGATTATTTACAGTGCACTAGAGCTAAGCTATTACACTATTTGACACTACTAGAGAATTCTTTAAATTTTGATTTGACTATAAAACTGAAAAAATATGTTAGAAAAATGTATATCAAGATTCAAGTTAGGAAAAAAGTTTTAAGCAATCTTTTCTATTTTTTTAAAAATCATTTTTCTTTTAATGCTAATAAATATTAAATAAATATTAAGTTATTACTGTCCATATTCTTAAACTAGAGTTTTGAATAGTTAAAAGTTAATAGAGCATTTATTTTATTTTATTTTTTCAATTTCAACAGTTAATATAATGAAATAAATGCTCTCATTAACTTATGATTTTAATTAATTATTTCATTGTGATGACGTTTAAGAAATTAAATCAAAATCGGTATTAGTTTAAATATAAGAAATTAATAGTTTTTCAAGTAACAACAAACCTCAACAAACAAGTACTCATAATATATCTTAAATTTCGTCAGGTCACCATAGATGCCCTCATGCTTAAAAAACTTAACTATTGCTATACTGATGGAGGGTAAAGTGTGCAAAATGTCTTTTTTTCCAATCTTTCGACCTTATCGTTGAAGTAGCGTGCAAGTTATGTAGCCAATTTGCCTTAATTTTGTTCTG